TTGATATTTCTCCTGGCAATCCTGACTCTGGCTTGTGCTTCATCCAGCCCGGCATTTCACATGATGTACTCTGCATATAAGTTAAATAAGCAAGGTGACAATATACAGCCTTGACGTATTCCTTTCCCAATTTGGAACCAATCTATTGTTCCATGTCCAGTTCTAACTGTTGCTTCCTGACCTGCATACAGATTTCTCAGGGGGCAGGTCAGGTGGTCTGGTGTTCCCGTCTCTTTCAGAATTTTCTACAGTTTGTTGTGATCCACACAAAGGCTTTGGCATAGTCAATAAAGCAGAAATTGATGTTCTTCTGGAACTTTCTTGCTTTTTCGATGACCCAACAGATTTTGGCTATTTGATCTCTGGTTCCTCTGCTCTTTCTAAATCCAGCTTGAACATCTGAAGGTTCATGGTTGAAGTACTGTTGAAGCCTGCCCTGGAGAATTTTGAGCATCACTTTGCTAGCATGTGAAATAAGTGCAATTATGCAGTAGTATGAACATTCCTTGACATTGCTTTTCTTTGGAATTTGAATGAAGACTGACCTTTTCCAGTCCTGTGGTCACTGCTGAATTTTCCAAATTTGCTAGCATATTGAGGCAGCACTTTCACAGCATCATCTTTTAGGATTTGAAATAGCTCAAATGGAATTCCATCACCTCCACTAGCTTTGTTCATAGTGATGCTTCCTAAGGCCCACTTGACTTCACATTCCAGGATGTCTGGCTCTAGCTGAGTGATCACACCATCATGGTTATCTGGGTCATAAAGGTCTTTTTGTATAGTTCTTCTGTGTATTCTTGCCACCTCGTCTTAATATCTTCTGCTTCTGTTAGGTCCATACCGTTTCTGTCCTTTATTATGCCCATCTTTGCATGAAATGTTCCCTTGGTATCTCTAATCTTCTGAAGAGATCTCTAGTCTTTCCCATTCTATTATTTTCCTCTATTTCTTTGCATTGATCACTAAGGAAGGCTTTCTTATCTCTCCTTGCTATACTTTGGAACTCTGCATTCAAATGGGTATATCTTTCCTTTTCTTCTTTGCCTTTAGCTTCTCTTCTTTTCTCAGCTATTTGTAAGGCCTCTTCAGACAACCATTTTTCCTTTTTGCATTTCTTTTTCTTGGGGATGGTCTTGATAACTGCCTCCTGTACAATGTCATGAACCTTCATCCACAGTTCTTCAGGCACTCTATCAGATCTAGTCCCTTAAATCCATTTCTCACTTCCACTGTATAATCGTAAGGGATTTGATTTAGGTCATACCTCAATCGTCTAGTGGTTTCCCCTATGTTCTTCAATTTAAGTCTGAATTTGGCAATAAAGTAAGGTCATGATCTGAGCCACTGTCAGCTCCCGGTCTTATTTTTGCTGACTGTATAGAGCTTCTCCATCTTTGGCTGCAAAGAATATAATCAATCTGACTTCAGTATATACCATCTGGTCATGTCCATGTATAGTCTTCTCTTCTGTTGTTGTAAGAGGGTGTTTGTTATGACCAGTGGGTTTTCTTGGCAAAACTCTGTTAGCCTTTGCCCTCCTTCACATTTTGTACTCCAAGGTCAAATTTGACTGTTACTCCAGCTGTTTCTTGAGTTCCTACTTTTGCATTCCAGTCCCCTATAATGAAGAGGACATTTTTTTTTTGGATATTAGTTCTAGAAGGTCTTGTAGGTCTTCATGTTTGCAAGATGTTAAATGACAAAACACTACCTGCAATGCTGCAAATGTGGTTCCACCTCCTTTACCCTAGCTGCCTGGAAGAAACATCTGTTTGTTCTCATTAGAGAGCACCTCTTTTTTGAAACTGTGGCAACCCAGATTTACTAATTTGCTACCTAACTACTACTAACCAGGTCACACCATGATGCCATTATTGGTTTACACATCTGTGTTCCCTGCTAAACTGGGAGCTCTAAAAAGGCAACAACTGTATATTACTAATATCTGGATCCCTAGTGCCTAACAGAATGCCACACCCTAAAATTCTTGTTCTATGCTCTCCTGGCCAGTTTATTACAACAGTCTTCATCTAACCAATCCATATTCTCCACTACTCTTATTTGAAACCTCATAATCCCATCCATAACCAACAGCTAAGAACTGGAGAAATTATGTCATATTAGTAATATCTTTACCAAAGGATGTAGTGTTTTACTTCTACATACAATTGCTCAGTAGAAAACACTGTAGAATAGTGAAAACTATGCACATTAGAAGCTCAAGTTCTCTAAAGACAAATAACAAGGCAGCGGACACTGGGGTCTGGAATTCAGGACTAGACACAAACTTGAGAAAGTCTAACACAGAGGTGGCATTTTGAAACTAGCAATTCATGAATTAGATCTCTAAGGAATTAAGTGCAGACAGAATATAGGTACTCCAAGGTTAAGAGATTTAGAGGCAGAAAAAGAACTCGCAAAGAACACTGAGAAGGAGCAACCAATGACAGAGGAAAACCAGGACATACTTGTCTGAAAAACAGGTGAATAGTTACTTAAGAAAGAAAGTCACTAAGCTATGATAAACACTATTGATAGCTCAAATTAGAAAGTAAGATTCTTTTCCATAATAGCAAACCCTCCATAACTGAGGAAAGAAAAACTGAAACATACCACTTGCATTCAATTACCAGTGAACAGAGTAAAATTGAAAGATACCTCTTGGCCATTAATTAGCAATGCAACCAGAAGTTACACCAATGTTATCTAATATAGATATTTCATTTATTTCACACACATGCTATTCTAAAGCATTACATCTTAATACCACATGCAACAAGCTTTCAGAGAGCCCAACAATTTTCTTGGGCAGCATAAATTTCAAACGAAAACCTCGTTAAGTTGTTTTACCAGCTGAGACCCCTAATTAACAATCAGAGTCTCCCATTCAGCTGCCACGCTTTCCTTAGAAATGCAGGTTTTGCATAATTTAAAGCTCAAGATAGTTTAAAGAGCATCTGGTTTCCAAAACAGAACGGACAAAAGTATCAACATTCCCAGAGGACTTATGAGAAAAAGTTAGACTGTGCACACCAGTAAGGGACGGGCTCATTTCCCACAAAGTAGCAGCTCAATATTTTTCACGTATCTTGAAAAAAGCTGTATCTTACAGCAGGGACATGGCACGAACTTCAGGGCCCTCCACAATACCTTCCCCCTAACAGTGCGCGGAGAGAGGTACTGGCGAGCAGAAGAGCTGTACCTGTGTCCATAAAGGCAATGCGGCACGGCGCACAACCGCAAACCAGACCGTAGGGTCTAGCCTCGGGCTGGGACTCACCTGTGTGGAAGATGCGCAGCCCCCAGCCGCCTCTGAGAGGGCGTCCCCGCAAACCACGTCACGGGACACTACAAAAGCGAGAGTCCTCTAATTGAAGAAGGGCCCTGGAGGACGCGGAGCGTTCGCTGCGTCCTTTCGGTCTCGGAGATGCCGCACCACGCATCCCTTAAAAACTCTTCAGCGGCTCCAGCGTGCGCGCGCTCTCCCGCCTCGTCGCTTAGCAACCTGCGAAGCCGTCCAGGCCTCCCGACTAGTCACATTCCTCCCGCCCCTGAGATTGTGAAGAGTTTTTAAAAAGATTTTATTTCCGGGTCGATCCAGCTTTACGCAGCGGAAGATCTCTGTACCTCCCAAGTTGACCCTTGCCGGGAGGATAAAGTCTCCCTAGCGGTGGGGAGGGTATTGTAGCTAAGGGGTCCGTCTCTCCTCCCTCGAGTTACACGCGCCTCCCCTCCCGCCAATTGCTGGGCGCCATCCGGCAGGTCCTTTTCCCTGGAGCCCAAATCATCCGCTTGTCGCAATCCTCCAATCACAACCTCCCGCCCTCGGGGACTACTTTGCAATCGGGGAAGAGCGCAAGGAGCAGAGCGTGAGAAGTACCTTTGAGCTCGGGAAGTGTAGTTCTAAGACTTGAAGGAATTGCATTGCAGATTGCGCCAGAATCAGGGTAGAGTAAACTACAGTTCCCAGAGGACCTCGCGGTCGGGAGCCGCGTTTTTCCTTTTCTAACACCGCTCGCCCTTTCCGAGTCGGTTCCGAGATAGAGGTGACCCGACTGTCTGAGGCTCATTCGGCAAGTGCAGAAAGTGTCCGCGCCGTTCCCAATCATGGTGAGTGTGGGCCCCTGCATGCTGCCCACCTACGGCCTTCGCGCCCCTATGTGGCGTTTCTTGCGCTTGAAGGACTGTTGGGGGAAGGCTGTCCAAGGAATTGTCCTTCGCGCCCTTTGGAAAGTCTTGATTCATCTTCTGGGGACTGTCGCAGTGACCTAGTTAGTTATTGGGAAAGAGTTTATTTCCAACTGAGGTTCTCAGAAGGACTTTAGAGAAATCACTGTCCCTGGAGAGGCGAGATCTCAGCCCTTCTGCATGTTGGGGGTACAAAATACGAAACTGGGGGATTTCTCCCAAGCACGCTCTGGGGAATTGATAAGGCCGATAAGGTTTGAAATGCGGAGTGTTGGACCTTAACCTCTTTTCTCCTCTTAAGCCTACAGTGTTTTTAAGGGCTTTTGTCACAAAGCTTTTGAAAGCAGAATGCCCTCAATGCAAAGGTAGTGCATCTGGTGATGCTCGGGATTGCAATCTGCCTTTTCGGGAGAAGTGTTTCCGCCATGTCTAATTTCACGAAATGTGATTTAAAACCTGTTCATTGATCTCCTTCTGTGCCAGTACATGTTACAGTGACGGCGCCCCTGGACAGATAATTTGTGCCGGTGTTTTTTACTAATCTGTATGTTACGAATTCTAGAACCAGCACTTTTAAATGTTACACAACGTAGTCATCTTGTCATGAAGATTTGGACACCAAGATCTCCATATCTTGTCTCTGTTGAAAGGGAGAAGGAAGGGGGTGTGGGGGGAGGGAACTCTGACGTATGAATAATCAGCATGCTGGTTGAAGGTGACATTTGATATCAACCTGAGAGAAATTGCTTCAGTACTTGTGTTTATAGTTGAGAATGGTTTTTCTCCATTGTTTCAAAATACCAAAATGGATGGGAAAATATTTGAAGGAATTGGAACATTTCCAGAACCTGAAAAGACGTGTTTTCAGGGCACGGGGATAACTCCTTCCACCTTTGAAAAGGAGCCAGTGGGAACAGCTTCCAATTTTCAGTGATAAACCTAGATTCCCTACTTATCTTGTCAGATAACACAATTAGTCATTTAAACGATGGATTCAGTGGTTTCTGACCTAATCATCTTAGCCAGAAAGCAGAGGTACCTATTAACAGAGAACCTCAGACTTCATAATTTTAAAACTGGATGGAACCTTTAAAAAAAAATCTTGACCATCTTAAAATTGAGTTTACTGAAACCCAAAGCGAATGTGATTTTCTCAAGGTCACACAAGTTTGCCTCCAAGGACCTCACAGTCTTTCCATTTTACCATATTTTGTCATTTAGACAGGTAAGTCATTCTGAAATTTTATTTTTAGTTGCTGAAGTTCTGGATGAAGATGCAAGTTCATACTGCAAATACAAGCTAAATTATATATCAGCATTTATATTACTTGACGGTTTTACAATGAGAATACTATATTTCTAGAATTGGAAGGGAATTTGGAAATTATTTCCTCTAATCTTCAGAAGTATGGTTAGGTCAAATGATTTTCCCAAGGTCACACAAAGATCCTAGGCCCCCATTCTTTCTTTGTTTTTCCTGCATGGTAGATCAAGGCAGGCCTGACCCCTGGAAGGTCACTGGAACACCAAATAATGTCCTTGAGGAAGAATCTTCCTGTCAGATGACTCAATCGCCTCAAATCACTGTGTTGCAAAAGAGCCATCTTGTTGTAAAGCTGTTAAAAATCAGCTTTTTGTCTTTTTTTTTTAAAGGAGGGGATCCTTTCCTTGTGTCCATTGGGAATGACAGCAAGAATAAACTATGAAAGAATCTGAATACTGTTTATGTGTCTTTTATATAACAGAAATATGTATAAATAAGAAAGTAAAAATGGAATATATAGATCTTTCTGTAGAATAACAGAAGGAACACTTAAATTCAAACTTGACAAACAAAAGACTTGAACACTTGCTTAGGACAGAGCCCGCATCTGCAGGAAGGTCATTAATACCCTGCCAAGAGGAAAGACATTCCTTCTTTGAATGTTGGCAGACTGCCCAGATTTCGAAGCAAAGAATAGTAACCTCTCTTCATACTGTAACATTGTGAAAAGTCAATGGGAATCTCCCACCGTCCTCCTTTTCAACTGCAATGATGCAAAGAGCGGGCAGAACCAAATACTGCACTTTCTTTTCTGTTTCATCATCAGAGATTCAGACACTAGGCTTCATACTACTTATAATGAGATGGAATTACCTACCTATGAAAATAATTTGCTCAGTGACACACAGGAAGGAAATTGCTGAGATAGGATTAATGGCTATTTATTAGTTGCCCACAATCCCTTCACTAGGGACTGTGATACTTGGAATCCCCTTTTTTTTTGTTTTTTTTTTTTTAGTAGCTAAAATTAATGCCTAAAATTGACTGCATTATTATAACCATCTACCTGCTTTCTGGGAGGTTTAAGTTTTATACATAGTGGTAGTAATAGTCACTTTCCCCTCATTTCTTATTCTAGGTTGCTTTCATTGAAGTAGCATGTGTTCATATTTCTCTTAACCCTTGCTTTCCTTCATTCAGCATATCCTTTTTGAATGCTATATGGGAGTGCAAATTTGAGTCAAAGGCAGACTATTCTCACAGGAGTTCCACAGTGTAGTGGAAAATAAACATAAGCTACAAGAGTCCTTAGAGGGAAAAATCTGTGGTGACAGAGACCTGTTATTAGAGTGCCTGCCCCGTACTAGCCTTACCACTTTGTGTGTTAGCTGTCTCAATCCTTACTGCCTTGTTCGGTAGCCGCTATTAGCTCCACCTCAGCCTTAGAGAAACAATACAGTAACTTGACTAAGAACATACAGCTGAGTTGAGGAATCCAGATTTGAACCAGAAAGTCTGGCTCTAGAAGCCATCTCTTCATCACTCTACTGCATCTCTAGCCTCCTCTTTTAAAAAACTGCCTTATCCTCTTGTTTCTTACATATGGTTCACTAATGGATTCTCTGGCATGTATTATGTACAAGGTACATAATAAAAGACTTTGATTAGAACTACTGAGCTAAATAATTTTGCTAACCATACCTGGAACTATTGTCACTATTTTCAGGCTTCTCAGTGCAAGTATATAAAACAATTCTTTAAAGCATGTTGGGTTTGCTTCCAAACAATTCTTTTACATTCCCAAGGGTTTGATAGTAATTTTACAAGAGTCAGCTACTCCTTTAGCAAATATTTGATGAGCTCTAACTACATGCCAGGCATTGTTCTAGGCAGCTGGGATACAACAGTAAAAATAGACAAAGCCCCCATCCTTATAGAGCTTGCATTCTAAAGAGGGAGACGCAGTCATTTGTATTATCATGTACTACAAGGAAAGAGAGGGAAATGACAGAATTTAAAACATGTAGAGGCCATGTGATAGAAAATAAATATATGGAATAACACATAGTGTTCTTTATAAACCTAAAGCCTATTGGGAACATACATATTGTTTTAAATTGGATCATTTGAGAAATTATCATATTTTGTTTAGATATGAAAGCATGGGGGAAGTTGGTGAAAAGTATAGGGAAGACACCCAGAAGGTCAGAAGAAACTCCATAGCTTTTTCCCTTTTTCTCTACTCTGGGCATCGCTGAGGAAGAAACACATTCATAGTCTGCAGTGTTCAGATTCATTTCTCTACAACATTGACACTGTCCTGAGATTTTTTTTTTTTCCCATCTGAATTCTATAGATACCAAACTGCTAAGAGCTGGCCCCTCTTAAGAGGGAATTCTTAATATAAAGAAACCTAATGCTTCTCTCCCCAGTCAGTTCAGCCACTTCTCTCATGTGGGTAACAAATGAGGTGACACATTGACCACTTACAGAGTAGAAGTACATTTACCCAGCATTGTCCAAGAAAAGAACAATTCCCTGGATTGAATTTTTCCATCTAAACTTACCCATTAAGTTTGCAGGGATTTTTGTTCAACTCTTTTTATTTTTTTTTAACTTTTTATTTTTTTTTGTTCAACTCTTTTTAATAGAGATATTTCTCTCCTTATAATTCTCTGAGGTTAATTTAACTTATTTCTAATAATTCAGGGTCATCACTCTGAACTAGATATATATACTTTTCATCCATATGTTTAGATTTTGTTCAAGGTCTATGACTTCCTTCTATTAGATGTTCTTTGTACTTTTTCCTCTCACTCCCCTTTAATATTAATTTTCCCTTGGAATCAGGTTGTCAGCTGTGACTACCTGTTGCTACTGTTGTTTGTTACTTAATGCTAAAATTTATTACAATCCAGATTATAATGTAGATAAAATGTATTTTAACCCATCATTTTTTTCCTTTTTTTTTTTCATTTTTTCTTCTTAAATAGATTTATTTTTCTTCCCCCAAGGACTTGAATCATGATTAATAAACTTTCCGGTTCCTTGTAAATGGAAAGTTTTAACCTCTGTTTCTCTTCCTGGTGTGAAGGGTTCTTGTGAACAGAAGGGAGTGGGGGGATTTGCATAAGAGGATTTGTAAGATTCTAGTAGCCGCCGGGGTTCGTATCATCATATGATACACATCAAAATTGTTAGGACTATTTTTAGTGGCAAAATATCCTAAAAGAGATGGATAAAATTTTATAAGTAAATCGAAGATAGCAGGGAGAGTTAACTAACACCACATAAATGTGCTAAAGGACACGTGTCCCAGAAGTCACTCGATTGCTTTGTGCATGCTGTGTTTACTGGGACAAGTCTGGAATGAATATCCTCTACTAAGCCAGATGTGAATGGTCTTTAAAATTTTACATTAGCTTTTAAAGTATGTGGTTGTCTTATTATAGAGAAAATAATGAACATCTTTAGGGTAGAGTAACCTTTTTTAAATAAGATGTTAATGGGTCTCTTTCATTACAGTCTGAACCAATCCGAGTCCTTGTGACTGGAGCAGCTGGTCAAATTGCATATTCACTGCTATACAGTATTGGAAATGGATCTGTCTTCGGTAAAGACCAGGTAGGGGCAAGTGTCAATAAATCTTAAGTAAAAGAACATTTTCAATAAAAACCCTCTATTCAGTTGCAAATAAATTTTTAAATATTAAAGGAATGAATAATTCCAATAAATGTCCGAGACACACAACTGTAAATGGAATCTGTCAGGTTCCATGCACCCCTCTGGGCACTGAAAATGCTTTGCAAATTATAACTGTTCCATGTACTGTTGACTTGGTGCTGCCAGCAAATGTCATAATGACAGTAACTGATACGGAGAGTCAAATGGAAGAGAAAGCTGCTGAATCAGCACTTTCTTGTTCATAAATGGTCTTTAGACCCAGAAGAGTTAGACAGGCAAATCACTTTCCCAGTTTGAAGCAGGTACCCTCTATTCCCTGGTAGCTCAGTCAGTAAAGAATCTCCCTTCAGTGGAAGAGACCTGGGTTTGATCCCCGGGTCGGGAAGATCCCCTGGAGGAAGAAATGGCAACCCACTCCAATATTCTTATCTGAAAAATCCCACGGACAGAGGAGCCTGGCAGGGTATAGTCCCTGGAGTCAGAAGAGTCAGACACGACTTAGCAATTGCACCACCACCTCCCTCCATTCTAGCAGGTCCGATTAATGTATACTAAAATCCTTTTCTATGATAATCATCTATCCATTGTCCTTACCCATGGATATCAAGTTCTTACTTTATGCAAGATACTGTGCTTAGCTTTCTATGAACTGAAATTGGATACACAGCCATCAACAACAAAAGCATGGTGTGGCATGTCACTTCAATCTGGTATTTCTTCCATGTACTCCTTTAAAATGCAATAAAGGTGATTCCTCTTAATGTGTCTGTTAACAAACTATTGCTGGTTTTATAGTATTCCTTTTTTTTTAGAGTATCCTGCTGTTAGACACCTGACTTCCTAAAATAATTATGATTAATTAATGGGAATTACACACATATACACACCAATTAGCAAAAACTCTGCAAAAGGACTTTTTCTGTGACTAAATGACATAACCGACACTGACAGATGCTGTCCTTGCTGTTTGTCTGGCAGCCTATCATTCTCGTGCTGTTGGATATCACTCCCATGATGGGTGTCTTGGATGGTGTCCTGATGGAGCTGCAAGACTGTGCCCTTCCCCTCCTGAAAGGTGAGCTGGGGAGTGGAGGAGAAAGGGATATTATAGTATTTTATATCTTTAAAACAGTAGATTTTAGAGCTTTGTTAACTGGCCTTTCAGTTAGAAATTATTTCATTAAAAGTTTTTTATTTTTGGACTACTACGACTTGGTAAGATGTATATATACCAAGAATGAATAAATAAATAGCAAATGTCAAGACAGAGGTCTTAAATTTGATTGAAAGATTCATTAAAATATTAGGTCAAGCTGTAAACTAATTTGAATGTTCTTCTTCAGCTCTACCTTCATCATTATCTTTTTTGGGAAAGGGAGGGTAAGAATAATACTCTCAAAGAACTTGCACAAATCAAAAATATATAGATGCCCAAGGTAAACTATGCTCAGAATTCATGTGTCTGTTCAATAAACAGTTACTGGGAGGGCTGCTCTGCCACCTCAATCATTTGATTGCAAAGTTATGTAAGAGAATGCATTACCCTGTCCAAGTTGTTCTGCTGGATCTTTTTCCTCACCCACTGTTTCCAGATCAGCTTCCTATGTTGTTTTTTCCTTTTTATTCCCTTCTCTGCTGAGTTCCCTCTGCTGACTCTTATGTACCCAGGTTATAGTCAGCTTGACCTTGGTCAGCTATGAATATACAGGTTCAGCAGATAAGGCTGCATGACTGGGAAGAAGATGGATTGTTTTTTTCTCCAACTGGTGCTCTCATGTATACTTATTTGGGGACTTATAGCAGCCTGATTGACACAAGTTTCTGATCTAAACAAGCACTCTATTCTGATTGTCTTAGTATTTGGGGGCTGCTGTTGGCTCAGGTGGTAAAGCATCTGTCTGCAATGCTGGAGAGCCAGGTTCGATCCCTGGGTTGGGAAGATCCCCTGGAGAAGGAAATGGCAACCCACTTCAGTACTCTTGCCTGGAAAATCCCATGGACAGAGGAGCCTGCAAAGAGTCAGACACGACTGAGTGGCTTTACCTTACCTTGTAACAAAAATACCATAGAGTTTATAGGTTTATAAACAACAGAAATTACTTCTAATATTTATGGAGGTTGGGAAGTCAGTAATCAAAAAGCCAGTAGCTTGGATATCTAATGAAAGCCCAATTCCTGCTTCATAGACAGACATCTCACTGTGTCTTCACATGGCAAAAGGGGTGAGGGAGCTCTCTGAGCCTCCTTTATAAGGCACTAATCTCATTCGTGAGGGCTTCTCCACCCATGACCTAATCTTTTCCCAAAGGCCCCACTTCCTAATACCATCACACTGGGAATTAGGTTTCAACATACAATTTTATGGGAGTACATCCAGTCTATAGCACTGGTCATGGCCTTTTTAATACAGTCACCAAAAGAACCATGATATACAGCTGATGCTTTAACAACTCAGGGCTGAGGGGTGCCAACCTTCCCTGCAGTGGAAAATTCAAGTACAATTTATAGTTGGCCCTCTGTTAACACTTCCTCTGTATCTGCAGGTCCAACCAACCTCAGATTGTACCTTACTGTAGTATTTACTATGGGAAAAAAATCCACATGTAAACTTGACATGCACAGTTCAAACCCATGTTCAAGGATCAACTGTATGTTCTTTAAGCAAAAAATATTAAGTGGTATATGTTTATTGGACTGCAGCATAGTGGTTGAACTCTGAACCAATCTGGACTTGAATGACAGTCCCACTCCTTTTTGACAGGTAGCTAATTAATCTCTTTAAATTTCATTGTCTTCATCCTATAAAATGTTTGGGCTTCCCTGGTGGCTTGAATATGCCTGCAATGAGGGAAACCTGGGTTCAGTACCTGGGTTGGGAAGATCCCCTGGAGGAGGGCATGGTGACCCACTTCGGTATTCTTGCCTGGAGAATCCCATGAACAGAGGAGCCTGGCGGGCTACACAGTCCATGGGGTCGTAAAGAGCTGGACACGACTGAGTGACTAAGCACACAGCACATAAAATGTTAAAATTAATTGTGACAAAATAAACCTCTCAGTGTTATTCCTTACAGAAAAAAACTCCTCAAGAAGCACGATTTTAATTTGGGTGATACTTTAAAACTTAAAGTAACTGTAACTTAAAGGTTAGGTGAGTTAGATTCTCTTTTGTGTTATCGGTGGTAATTAATGTGAATAATTAATGTTGCTTTGAAAGGTATATTATACCTTGCATCATAATAAAAGATGAAAGCTACAGAGTTTTGAAATTAAGCAAAATAAATGTATTGACATTTCTGCTTATGTTATGATTGTTGAATTCATATATTGCCTTTCTTTTCTTAGGCCCTTTAAACTTTGATCACTGTGATTTGTAAAAGTAAACAGTTGCTGCAAAGTGGAAGAGTTACTGGGTAGATTCAGTATGAAAAAACCTCAGACTTCGGTGTTTAAGTAGCTCTGCATATTTATTGCCATGTTCACAGATGTCATCGCAACAGATAAAGAAGAGATTGCCTTCAAAGACCTGGATGTGGCCATTCTTGTGGGCTCCATGCCAAGAAGGGATGGCATGGAGAGGAAAGATTTACTCAAAGCAAATGTGAAAATCTTCAAATGCCAGGGTGCAGCCTTGGACAAATATGCCAAGAAGTCAGTTAAGGTGACCAACAGAATATTTTACGGGGTTTTTCACTATCAGCATTTGAAACTTCTGCTTTCAGCATTTAAGTGAAAATGAAATAATTTGTTTTGTTTTTTTCCCCAGTTCTGTACAACGGTCAGCTAAATACAGGTATAGGGTTTTGCTTGATTAGCCCTCCCTTTCAGGGCTTGTTCATATAGTGTAGAAATCTATATTCTGAGGGGCTTAAAAATATTTTGACTATGACATGGAGATTTAATATTAGTTTGTAAACCTGTAGAAAAGGCACAGAACCTTCTGGTGCCCTTTTAGCTGCACAGGACTTTTTGTTCAGACATTTGGATTTGTGTGTGGTTGTAAAGGAAGATGGCTGTAAACTGTGTTTATTCTCAGTGCTGGGAAGTGGTGGCTTCTGAGTGCCCAGATTTTCTCAATCCAGAGGAATTTTGATATACTTGTCTGTTGAGGAGTTGAGTCAGTTATGACTTCTGGGTATTAAACCTATTGGTTTTAAATTTATCTCCAGTAAAGCCTCCTTTTACCAATTAAGTATCAGTTACCTAGAACTTAAGGGACTAAAAGTTGCTCAGTCGTGTTGGACTCTTTGCAACCCCATGGGCTATAAAGGTCATGGAATTCTCCAGCCAGAATACTGGAGTGGGTAGCCATTCCCTTCTCCAGAGGATCTTCCCTACCTAGAGATTCAACCCAGGTCTCCCGCATTGCAGGCTGATTCTTTACCAGCTGAACCACCAGAGACACTTGAAAGTCTTCCCTGTAGCTCAAACAGTAAAGAATCTGCCTGCAACACGGGAGTCCCAGGTTCAATCGGGAAGATCCTGTGGAAAAGGGAATGGCAATCTACTCCAGTATACTTGCCTGGAGAATCCCATGGATAGAGGAACCTGGCAGGCTACTGTCTATGGGATCCCAAACAGTTGGACACGACTGAATGACTAACACTGCTACCTACCTACCTAGAACTTAATTAACTGTCACAGCAAAAAGGCTTGCTGGTTAGAGGTTTTACTGATTTTAATACACTTCTTTCTCCCAATCCTGACTCCAAAGAAAGCTAAAAGAAAATTTTATAAGATTTTCTAATGTTTCCATTTATAATGTTCTATTATAATACTTCATAAACACCTGAATTTCTGCTCTGTGCAGACTTTACTTCAAGTAGTTAACTTTTATTTTCTGTAATCATTAATAGAAAATAATAAAAATAAATTGAGTAGAAGTCCCCAGGTCTCTTAGTAAAAAAATTACAAGGCTGCTTGGGATTATTATGCTGCTTGCAGAGTAATTACCTCTCAGCCAAAAATGTCTTTCTAGGGGGAAAGACACACCTACACTGGAGTAGCTAGGGATATTGGAGTATCATACCTGCAGCTTGCTCATGGACAGACTCAGTGAAGACTAAGGGCTGTGTGTGTGTGTGTGTGTGTGTGTGTGCGCGCACGTGCACACGCAAGTGTGGACACATGCGCACACAGAAGGTGAGAGAGATGGGGCAAATTGGAGAATCTAGGTAGAGGGGATGTGGGAGTTAGTCTTTGTTAAGATGCTTATAGCTTTCTGTAAATTTGATATAATTTCACAGTAAGTTTTTAAAATCATTTTATTAAAGATTTTTAAGACTTGTAAAAAAAATTCATGTATTCGTTTTCCTATGCTGTATTGTAATTCACTGTATCCCCCTTTCAAAAAGAAAAAAAGCCTGAAGTGCTTTCTCCTGAAGATAGATTCAATGAGTATGAAGGGGTGGGACCTGGTATTTTAGCAACTATCCCAGTTAATTCTTAGGATTAGGCAAGAATGAGAAACACTTTTCACTCATAAGGGCAAATCACTGCCCTAAAACAAACTCCTCAAAGAATTTCTTTCTTGGGCTACTTTTATAAGACAGGAAATTTTTATGATTGACTCGAACCCTGAGATAGAGCTTTCGGTTACTAGTTTTTTATGGCAAGAAAATAAATGCTGTCTCTGTTTTAGCAGAAAACACAATGACTTGTATATATAATGGTGGTTTTAGTAAATGTTTTCAGTAGTCACATCAAATACTAACAAGAGGAAAAAAAAAATATTAGAAGGGAGGATAGAAACCTCCTAGAATCTAGAAACTAGGGTAATAACTATACATATTTAGCTCACACAAATTGATAAAAAGGCCACACGTTACATCAGTCCTATCCTATTGATAAATTGGTTTACTTAAATTAGTGTACAGTCTGAAGCTTTGCTGTGCCTCTTGTACATCCTAGGTTATTGTGGTGGGGAACCCAGCCAATACCAACTGCCTGACTGCCTCCAAGTCGGCACCGTCCATCCCCAAGGAGAACTTCAGTTGCTTGACTCGTTTGGATCACAACCGAGCTAAAGCTCAGGTAAGAAAGATGCCTTTTCAAATCTTAAATGTTCAACTTTAAACCTTTTTTCTCACCCTTAAAGTAACTGAATCTTAGTTTGTACTTTTTTCCTTGTTTTGTTTTAGTAGGTAGCTATTCCACTTTGTTAGGACATCTTTAAATCTAATCTCTTAAGGCAGCTGAACTTTGTACTTAATTTTCACCATTATATTCCATTTCCTTTCTTTAATCACATGTCACTGCTAATGTCCTCTTAGTACAGTGGTTAAAAATTTTAGTCATTAGTATAGATAATTCACATAATGGTACACAATTATTTTTGTCAGGTACATAGGAAATTATAAAAACAAAGGCTTGAGTTTTGTGGGTTTCATGTGGTTCTGCTTTTTCCACTCAGATAAGCAATTGAATTGATTTAAATTTTATATTTAGTTTCACTTTCATTTTTATATCCTTCTCATATTCTACTTCCAATTTACCTTGATTCATGGACCTAACATTCCATGTTCCTATGCAGTATTATTCTTTATAGCATCAGACTTTACCAGATGCATCCACAACTGGGCATTATTTCCACTGTGGCTCAGCTTCTTTATTCCTTCTGGAACTATTTCTCCACTCTTCTCCAGTAGCATATTGGACACCTAATGACCTAGGTGGTAGGGGTTGCAGCTGGAGGCAGGGGTTCATCTTTCAGTATCATATCTTTTTGCCTTTTCATACTGTTTATGGGGTTCTCAAGGCAAGAATGCTGAGTGGTATGTCCCTTCTCCAGTGAACCATATTTTGTCAAAATTCTCTACCATGACCTGTCCATCTTGGGTGGCCCTACACAGCATGGTTCATAGTTTCATTGAGTTAGGCAAGGTTGTGGTCCATGTAATCTGCTTGGTTAGTTTTCTGTGATTGTGGTTTTCATTCTGTCTGCCCTCTGATGGTCCATGAATCAAGGTAAATTGAAAGTGGTCAAACAAGATGGCAGGAGTGAACATCAACATTTTAGTTCAGTGAACTAAAATGGACAGGAATGGAATGGACAAATTTAATTCAAATGACCATTATATCTACTACAGTGGGCAAGAATCCCTTAGAAGAAATGGAGTAACCCTCATAGTCAAGAGTCTGAAATGCAGTACTTGGGTGCAATCTCAAAAACAACAGAATGATCTTGGTTTGTTTCCAAGGCAAACCATTCAATATCACAGTAATCCAAGTCTATGCCCCAATCACTAATGCTGAAGAAGCTGAAGTTGAATGTACTGTGAAGACCTACAAGACCTTCTAGAACTAACACCAAAGCAAGATGTCCTTTTCATCATAGGGAGCTAGAATGCAAATATAGGAAGTCAAGAACATACCAAGAGTAACAGGCAAATTTGGCCTTGGAGTACAAAATGTGAAGCAGGGCAAAGGCTAACAGTTTCCCAAGAGAATGTGCTGGTCATAGCAAACACTCTCAGCAACATAAGAGACAACTACACATAGACATCACCAGAAAGTCAATACCAAAATCAGATTGATTATATTCTTTGTAGCCAAAGATGGAAAAGCTCTATACAGTCAGCAAAAGCAAGACTGGGAGCTGACTATGGCTCAGATCATGAACTCCTTATTGCCAAATTCAGACTTAAACTGAAGAATGTAGGGAAAATCACTAGGCAATTCAGGTATGACCTAAATCAAATCCCTTATGATTATACAGTGGGAAAAACTAGTAGATTCATGGAATTAATCTGATGAACAGAATTCACCTGAGTATGGATAGAGGTTCCTAACATTGTACAGGAGGCAGTGATCAAAACCATCCCCAAGAAAAAGAAATGAAAAATGGAAAAATGGCTGTCTGAGGAAGGCTTACAAATAGCTGAGTATAAAAGAGAAGCTTAAGGTAGAGGAGAAAAGGAAAGATATACCCATCTGAATGCAGAATTCCAGAGAATAGCAAGGAGAGATAAGAAAGCCTTTTCTAAGTCAGCAAGGCAAAGAAATAGAGGAAAACAATAGAATGGGAAAGACTAGAGATCTCTTCAAGAAAATTAGAGATACCAAGGGAACATTTCATGCAAAGATGGGCTCAATAAAGATGTAAACAGTATGGGCCTAACAGAAGCAGAAGATATTAAGACGAGATGGCAAGAATACACAGAAGAACTGTTCAAAAAAGATCTTCATGACCCAGATAACCATGATGGTGTGATCACTCCTCTCGTGCCAGACATCCTGGAGTGTGAAGTCATGTGGACCTTAGGAAGCATCACTACGGGTAAAGCTAGTGAAGGTGATGGAATTTCAGCTGAGCTATTTCAAATCCTAAAAGATGATGCTGTGAAAGTGCTGCACTCAATATGCCAGCACATTTGGAAAACTCAGCAGTGGCCACAGGACTGGAAAAAGTCAGTTTTCACTCTGATCCTAAAGAAATGCCAAAGAATGTTTAAACTACCATACAATTGCACTCATTTCACATGCTAGCAAGATAATGCTCAAAATCCTTCAAGCTAGGCTTCAACAGTACGTGAACCGAGAACTTCCAGATGTACTTGCTGGATTTAGAAAAGACAGAGGAACCAGAGGTCAGATTGCCAACATCCATTGGATTAGAGAGGAAGCTAGAGTATTCCAGAAGAACATCTACTTCTGCTTCATTGACTATGCTAAAGCCTTTGACTGTATGGATCACTACAGACTGGAAAATTCTTAAAGAGATGGGAATACCAGACCACCTTACCTGCCTCCTGCAAAACCTATATGCAGGTCAAGAAGCAACAGTTACAACCTGACATGGAACCATGGACTGGTTTCCAGTTGGGTACGTCAAGGCTGTATACTGTCACCCTGCTTCTTTAACCTTTATGCGGAGTAGAAATGCATTATGAGAAACGCCAGGCTGGATGAAGCACAAGATGGAATCAAGGTTGCAGGGAGAAATATCAGTAACCTCAGATATGCACATTATACCACCCTTATGGCAGAAAGGGAAGAATTAAAGAGCCTCTTGATGAGGGTGAAAGAGGAGAGTGAAAAGGCTGACTTAATATTCAGCATTCAAAAAACTAAGATCATGGCATCTGGTCCTGTCACTTCATGGCAAACAGATGCAGAAAAAGTGGAAGTAGTGGCAGATTTTATTTTTCTGGGCTCCAAAATCACTGTGGACAGTGACTACAGCCAGGAAATTAAAAGACATTTGCTCCTGGGAGGAAAAGCTGTGACAAACCTTGACAGTGTGTTAAAAAGCAGAGACAACACTTTTCCCACAAAGCTCTGTATAGTAAAGGCTATGGTTTTTCCAGCAGTCTTGTACAGATCTGAGAGTTAGACCATAAAGAAAGCTGAGCACTGAAGAATTAATTTTTCTGAATTGTGGTGCTGGAGAAGACCTGAGAGTCCCTTGGACAGCAAGGAGATCAAACCAGTCAATCCTAAAGGAAATCAACCCTGAATATTCACTGGAAAGACTGATGCTGAAGCTCCAATACTTTGGCCACCTAATGTGAATAGCCAACTCACTGGAAAATACCCTGCCTGATACTGAGAAAGATTGAGGACTGGAGAAGGGGCAATAGAATATGAGATGGATAGCATCACTTATTCAATGGACATGAGTTTGAGCAAACACTGAGAGATTGTGAAGGACTGGAGAGTCTGATGTGCTGCAGGCTATGGGGGTCACAAAGAGTAGGGCAGGATTTAGCAACTGAACAATAACAATATGCATATTCATGAGTGAGTATAATCTTCCATGTAAAGCTAGGTTTCTAGATGCACTTGCATAGTACAACATGTTCAAACATACATGCCTTGCATGTTCAAAAATGGCAGTCCTTGGGGTAGAGGTTTTAGCATTAAAATGAGGCAAAGTTCACTCTAGGTTGACAAAATCAGGTACCTATTGAGTGAAGTCACAAGGGTCAGCAGTCTTATTCCTTAGACTCCAGTTAATCTGATGAGTGAATGCTTAAGGGGTTTTGGATGCTACAAAACAGCTCAAGAATGTGCTTCTGATTGATCTTTACCTTTGAACAGGACAGAACAGGGAGGCTTTACAACTCATTTGTTACATTTGCTATGGTTACTTCTCTTGCCTAATAACAGTTTTTTGTTCTTGCATTCTTTGTTCTTTTTAAAATCATTAATTACTGAGATCTATTCTTTGTTTCCACATGAAGACCTAGGAGGCCTTAGTTCACCTTTCTCCCAGAACAGAAGCCTTCTGAAATTCACAGTCTAGTTCTTAACTCAAGCTTGTCCAGTGCATGTTACAATTTCTCTTATTGCCCAGGATTCTGCTTCTGCAAAATATGACAAACTCTGGTGTAACTGCATACCTTCCTTATTACTGTCTGGCTAAGAAAACCACTGCTTTACACTGAGAGCTGATCATCTTTCAGCTCTGGAGGGCCCAGTGAAGGAGAAAAGAATTTACATTTAAGTTTCTACACTAAACTGACTGTTTTACATTTAATTTGTCATTTACTTCTCATAGTAACCATATGAGATATCTGTTATTATCTCCTGTTTAACAGATAAGAATTCTGAAGCCTAAAAAGGTCAGGGAACCTCCTCAAAGTCACACACACAGCTAGTCAGTAAAAGGGTCTGCCTAACTCCACACCCTCATGTGTTCTTACACAATGGTATGGGTCTTGCATGCTAAGTCACTGCAGTTGTGTCTGACTCTTTGGGACCCTGTGGACTGTAGCCCATCAAGCTCCTCTGTCCATGGGATTCTCCAGGCAAGAATACTGGAGTGGATCTCCATGCCCTTCTCCAGGGGATCTTCCTGATCTAGGGATCAAACCTGTGTCTCTTAACATCTCCTGCATTGGCAGGCAGGTTCTTTACCACTCGCATCACCTGGGAATGCGATCAAGTGACTTAAATCCATTCACTAGCTCTGTGACCCTGAGAAAGTGTATTCAAGCTGTAAAATGGGATAATAATTGTTATCTATCTCATATGGTAGTTATGTGCACTAAATGAGATAAGATCTATGTTAAGACCTTATCTTGATGCCTGTCACATAGTAAAAACTCAGTAAAGGTTGGCTGCTGTAATTATTACTGATGATGATGATGATGAAGAGATATATAACCAAATTTTGAGAAGAGTCACACTTCAGAAATCTCTCAGTTAATTTAGAAGGTATTTGGATAGCAAGCTTAAATTACAAATATTTCCTGAGAGGCTTTGGGCTGTGGGCTGGGTCTTTTTTCTTATTATTTAGCCAGCACTCAGTAGCTGGGAAGAAATGGGAGTTGGTTGAATGACTGGAGGCAGGAGATTGGGGTACTGTAGAGCAGTTGTGGGCTTCCCAGATGGCGCTAGTAGTAAAGAACCCACCTGCCAACGCAGGAGATGCAAGAGACAAGGGTTCAATCCCTGGGTCAGGAATATCCCTGGAGGAGGGCATGGCAAGTCCCTCCAGTATTCTTGCCTGGAGAATCCCATGGGCAGAAGAGCCTGGTGGGCTGCAGTCCAGTGGGTCACAAAAAGTCAGACACGACTGAAGCAACTTCACAGGCACACCCAGAGCTGTTAGGAAAGAAAAGGTGGTACCACAGGTGTTACATCTGTGGACTTTGGATTACCAGATGGTGAATCACTGCGTTGCAACAGGGAGAAGACAGTAGAATGATGACAGACACCAACAAATTTCCACCTGTGCTGTTTGACCTGAGGCCTTAGTTGAGGCAGGCATTGGAAAACTCTGCTTTCCGATGTACAGCAAAATGATGCTTTGTCCCAGTGCCTGCAACAGTTTTCCTTGCGGGGTGAAAGTCTGAGTGAGGAAAGAGGGAAGAAAGCCACAAACATTGACTTTGGCCCATGTTCCAGCATGCTGGTTTGGCACAGTGACAGCTGTTAGGAAGTTTTTGAAGGAGCTGTTTCTTGCTCCTCTAGAGGCTGTTAATCCAGTGAGAAAAGTAACAGACCCAAAGATTAAGTTTTCTTACATGAATGAATACTGCAGCTGCTGCTGCTGCTAAGTCACTTCAGTCATGTCCGACTCTGTGCAACCCCACAGATAGCAGCCCACCAGGCTCCCCCGTCCCTGGGATTCTCCAGGCAAGAACACTGGAGTGGGTTGCCATTTCCTTCTCTAATGCATGAAAGGAAAAGTCAAAATGAAGTTGCGCAGTCATGTCTGACTCCTAGCGACCCCATGGACTGCAGCCTACCAGGCTCCTCCGTCCATGGGATTTTCCAGGCAAGAGTACTGGAGTGGGGTGCCACTGCCTTCTCCCTGAATGAATACTGGTCTTACATAATTTGTTTTAGAAATCAGAGGGCCTCGCTGCCTAGTGACTGTTTATCCCCTGCAGAATTCCCCTGTATATTTGCAAATCAGAGCTACGTATGTTGTCTCCTGGCCAGCAAGGTAATTTGTCAATGAAACCAGCTAGGTAGTATCACAGAGAAGAAAATTAACTAGAGCTGGAGAATGAATCAAAAGCTGTTCAACAAGTCTGTGTGACAGGCATGAAAATGCCTGAAGGAGCAAGGAGCTGCTTACTATCCTGGGTACATGGTAGTTTAGCTCTGACCTGCATGATATTCAGAAATCACATCTGCTGGGTGCCAAGTACTGGCCTTTGCTATCCAGAGAGAAGCTGATTAGCTCAGGAGATCTAAAGAACAAGAGGAAATGGGCAAACAGGACACAGGAAGTCAGGGGAGCCTCCTGTAGGGAGGAGAGGCCTGCAGACAGTTTGTCCTCACTGTACTTTGGAGTTGACATCCAGCAGAGTTAGGGTTTCTAAATTGTTGATAATATACATCTTGGCTCACTTGCCTGAGTATAAATTTTCCTTTTTCTCAATGATGCCAGCTAAATATAAGTAAGAACAGTTCTTTGCACGTCCCTTCAGGTCATGGCACACACAGAAAATGGTACTCATTGCATAGCACATCACTCTACGCCTACCACTAAGCAGATCAGTAGCCTGGTACCCCAGAAACCAACCACCCAACTAATTTGTGAAGACGGATATGATAGTTAATAGTCCTAATTTTTGCAGAACTCTAGATGAAGTAGGGATTAGATCAGAATTGATTTTAAATGTCAAAAACAAAATTTTAAGTTATTTTTAAAATCTATTTTAGGACTTAAAAAATGAGTCTCAACTTATAACAGTCAGTGAAAGTAAGCACAACTTGCTTCTTCCTTGACTGAATAAATTAGCATGAAGATGAGTCAAGGCATTGCAAACATTTTAGGTAATGGCTTTTTCATTTGTATCATTTTGGTTGGTTGTCATTTTTTACTTTTTATTTTGGAATAATTATAGACTTAGAAGAAACTGCAGAAATAGTACAGAGAACCCCATGTACCTACCACCCTCTTCCCACAGTAATGACATTTTACATTAACTATAGAGCATTATCAAAACTAGAAATTGACTAAACTACACACCACACTGTTAAATAGCTTTACTCAGATTTCTACAGTTTTTATGTCTTTATGAATGATCCTATATCATCTAATTATATATTAGATTACTATAACCACAAACTGTACCATCACCCACAAAGAACTCCTATTCATGTTGCCTCTTTATAGTTACAGTCCCTCTCCTTTCCTAAACTCTGACAACCATTTATCTGTTCTCCAACTCTATGCTTTTGTCATTTTAAGAATGTTTTAAAAATAGAATCCTGCAGTAAGTAACCTTTTGACACTTTTTTCATTAAGTTTAATGCTTTTAATAGCCATTCAAGTTGTTACATGTATCAGTAGTTCATTCTTTTTATTGTTACTCCATTTATTTAATTATATGAATGTACCACAGTTTGTGTTGGAAGACAGAAGGAATGAAAAATGCCCACCAAACTAAGAAGGCATCTTGAGACCAAAAAACAAGGCAGGCAGCTCCATATAACCAATGAATCAGTTTATTATACGGTAACTTACTCACAGGGTGGGATTGGGATCAGGCAGACAGTGACCCAGAAACATTTGCAGCTGCACACCATACCACAGAGGAGCCACAGGGACAATTTTGTAGTTACCCTCGGGTATGAGTATAGGTGCTTTGAAACAGGACGTTTCTGAATTAAGATTTATGAACGGATAACTGGTCTCATGGGTGCCAGGAATGTCAAGGGAGGTTTTCATCATTGTTTGGAGACCAGCAGAACAGAGAGGCTGGCTACCTGATCCTGATGTTTATTAAACCGTATAATATAAACTACAAAGCCCTAGATGTGATTCACTTCACAGGTCAGTTTTAAAGGATAGGAGAAACTGTAAGGGCCCAAGATGGTGTCAGTTATGCTAGCAGCCATGCTTTATTTAACCATTCTTGAAGGACTTTTGAGTTGTTTCAAGTCTGGGGCTAAAATATCAGGCTGTATTCTCTTTGCTATATAGTGAGCACACAACCAGAGCTTTGATGCAGTGCTGCTATAACTTTGTATGCAAAAGCTGTGATTCTGGCACAACTATTTTGTTTTTCCTTTTTGTTCTTATTGCAATGTAAAGGGAAGAAAAATCACAATGTAACCCTAACACATCAGCTTTTAAATTTTTTTTCTAAAACCTTTCTATTTTAGATCCTTATAAATTCTGCTATCTAATTAGAAAGAAATTACAGGAAAGCAAGTATTAGAATTCCCTAGTAGCTCAACTGGTAAAGAATCACCTTGCAATGCAGGAGACCCTGGTTCAATTCCTGGGGGCAGGAAGATCTGCTAGAGAAGAGATAGGCTACCCACTCCAATATTCTTGGGCTTACCAAGTGGCTCAGCTGGTAAAGAATCCACCTGCAATGCGGGACACCTGGGTTCAATCCCTGGGTTGGAAAGATTCCCCTGGAGAAGGAAACAGCTACCCACTCCAGTATTTGGGCCTGGAGAATTCCATGGACTGTATAGTCTATGGGGTCGCAAACAGTTGGATATGACTGAGTGCTTTCACTTTCTAAGTAAAGTATAGGAATAAAGCCAGCCAATTAATTTTTTGGCTTCCTAGTACATATAAAAGTTTTATTTGTATGTAGTATGTTAAGTATGCAAAAACATTATGTCTAAAAAATATATACATACAATATATACATACCTTAATTTAAAAAAGGCTTTGTTGCTAAAAAAAAAAAGTGCTAACCATCATCTGAGCCTTCAGCAGGTCATAATCTTTTTGCTGGTGGGGGTCTTGCCTTCATGTTTATGGCTGCTGATTGGTCAGGGTGGTGGTTGATAACGGTTGGGGTGACGGTGGCAATTTCTTAAAATAAGACAACAATGAAGTCTTCCTTTCACAAAAAATTTCTCTATAGCATACAATGCTGTGATAGCATTTTACCCTGAGTAGAACTGATTTCAAAACTGTAAGTAAATCTCTCAAACCTTGCCACTGCTTTATCAACTAAGTTTTATAATATTCTAAATCCATTCTTGTCACATCAACAACCTTCATGGCATCTTTACAACTAGGAGTGGATTCCACCTCAAGAGCTTTAAACATTATAGGGTACAGTATTGAAGTAGAATGCTTAAAAGTAAGGATCATCTTACAGTTTATGGATGACTTATTTGTATAATAGCTTAATCAAATATAAAACACCAAAGTTTAATATTGCTTAAATACATAAATGTGACCTTTGTTTTGTTGTTAATACTTGGAGATGTCACCTAAGTGTTTCTGACCAATCAGGTATTTAGATACTTTCTCTACTATTAAATTATTTTGGGAAACTTACCAAACAGTAAAATCTTTGGGGGATTTTTTGTTTTGTTGTTGTTTTTTTTACAAATCAATATAAGTCTTGTGTTCTCTTAAACTTTCAGAGGTTTTTGTCTTAAGGACATTTGTCAAATAGATCACAATTTGAAATTTAAAACAAAAAAAAACTTGTCTAAGTAATGTATTTGTTTTTTGTTGAACAAGATTGCTCTTAAACTTGGAGTGACTTCTGATGATGTAAAGAATGTCATCATCTGGGGAAACCATTCCTCAACTCAGTATCCAGATGTCAACCATGCCAAAGTGAAACTGCAAGGAAAGGAAGTTGGTGTTTATGAAGCTCTGAAAGATGACAGCTGGCTCAAGGGAGAATTTATCACGGTGAGAAAAATGCAGGAGATCTCTTCACAGCCAAGCATCAAGAACTCTTGAGAGACACACACATTACTGACCTGAGTCTCCCCACAGTGGGTGGCAGGAGGAAACCCAAAGACAGCAGGCCTTTGATGAGTGTATATATTCTTTGGGAGTCATACTGAGGCAGTCATAATCCGATCTGATCTATTGTGTGGCAGTCAAGATTGATAAAGTGGGAAAAAACTGGATACCCTCCAATCATCCAGCTCTCTTATAGAGGTCCATTTCTTCATGTCAAGTGTAGTCAGCTTTCTGTGTGGGTCTTTAGTTGTCCCTTTTCAGGAAGACTGGTGCTTCTAAGTGAAAGAGGCTAATAAGGCCACCATGGGGTAGTTGTGTGATTTTGGAGGGGACACAGTATGCTGTAGTTTCAGCCTCTCACCCCAGGAATAACCCTGCTGTCTCTGCCTGCCCTCCCAGACTGTGCAGCAGCGCGGGGCTGCTGTCATCAAGGCACGAAAGCTGTCCAGTGCAATGTCAGCCGCAAAAGCCATCTGTGACCATGTCAGAGACATCTGGTTTGGAACCCCAGAGGTGAGGACTCAGTGACTTCCACAGGCCACTCTTTTGTTTTTTCCTCTGATGCTGTAATGTAAAAAATCAAACAAGCAAAAAGACATGTGGCCTTGCAGTCAGGCCAGTTAGGTTCATATCCCAGCTCAACTCCTGACTAGGTGAGTAACCTTGGGAAAGTTGCTTAACCTCTCTGAGCAGTTTTGTCATCTCTTACATGGCATTTAACTCATAGGGTTATAAGGTCAATGAGATGAAATGTAGAAAGCACCAAACATAGTAGAGGTAGCTTTATTTTTCTTCTTCAAACCTATATTGGGCCACTAGCTTCCTCATTTATAAAATGAGGGTTATGTTTCTCTGGCTTACTTCACACATGGATTGGAAGAGTGGACTGAGATAGTAACCATGAAAGTTGCCCTTCTGTGTAAGTGCCTGGTGCTGATTCTTTGTATAGTAATGAAGTTACACACAGAGTATCAATAAGAACCTATCACCTGGTCTAATTTTGTTAGTTCATGTGTCCTTCAGTTATGAAAAGGAATTCTTTTATAAAACATTGACTGTTACTTCTTTTCAGGGAGAGTTTGTGTCCATGGGCATTATCTCGGATGGCAACTCCTATGGTATTCCTGATGATCTGCTTTACTCGTTCCCTGTTACAATCAAGGTAAGGTAGTATGGGTTTTTTTTTAAACCCTCTGTCCCCTAATGGGATACCAGTTGTGTGTTTTTATTAACAATAGTATATTTTAGTCTAGAAAGTTGTTCCTTTACTAAATTAGACATTTTTCTCAGCTTTAAAATCATGTGATCACAACTTTAGGTCACTAAAAGATTGAAATTAATCTGGAAAGCAAGTTTCAACTCTCCCAACTAGACACCTTTTGTTACTATGCCTCTCCTATTGGACATCTATAAATATTCTCTTACTTCTAAATGAAACAATGGTTCTCAGTGTTGTCACTTTGTATTAAAACTGTACTGAAGTCAGTAGTTTTTTATATTTGCTAATTAAAGCCTAATTTAAAGATGGTTTTTCTAGATTCAGTCAGTTTCAAATTCAAATGTTGAGTTTTTATCAGAATTATGTTAATTAAGATCTGGATTTTGATTTGCTTCTTTAGATTCACATTTTTAAACATACTCCTCTAAATTAAGTTCAAACTAAGTTGTTGCTTGCTGGAACAACTTCTAGTTTAATCATAAATCTCTTAATTTGCATTTATTTTCAAACAGGATAAGACCTGGAAAGTTGTTGAAGGTCTCCCTATTAATGATTTCTCACGTGAGAAGATGGATCTTACTGCGAAGGAACTGGCAGAAGAGAAAGAAACTGCATTTGAATTTCTTGCCTCTGCATGACTAGACAATCATTTCGATGTTCCTAAATGCCCCAAAGCTGAAGAATCTAAATGTCGTCTTTGACTCTAGTACAAAATAATAATAATGCCATACTTAAATTACTTGTGAAAAACAACACACTTTAAAGATTGTGTGCTTCTTGGTACAAGTTTGTGACGGTTTATCATCATGCTGTTAGTGTCGTATTCTAAAATAAATATATATTCAAGTGAAGATGACTTGGACTCTAATTCTAGATATTTTGTTTCTGTTCAGAAAACAAATGTGCATGTTTCCCAGCTTGCCTAAGGGAATTATGGTTTAGAAAAAAAAAAACAAAACAGAAAAAGGGAGTAGATAGAAAATGTTACAAAGTAAAGCACAATTCTCTCATATTTAAATAGAATAGGAAAATCCTACCTCATAACCAATCTATTTTGAAATATAATTTTAAGTCAGTCTTTTCTTTTTGGCCACACCATGTATGGGATCTCATTTCTCCTCCCAGGGAGTGAACCAGTGCCCCCTGCAGTGCAAGCACAGAGCCTCAACCACTAGACCACCAGGGAAGTCCCCAGAATATAATTTTAAACATTACCTACATTAGGCAGTTAAACATATTTTTTAAAATCTTAATTTATGCTTTGTGGATAATTTGGTTTTAACATTAGCTGTTAAATAGACTGCAGGTAATATTCTGTTAAGTTTAATGCCATTGGTAAGGGTGGAACAATCATTTACATGACAGGAAAGAAAGATCATAAGCTGTCCCTTGAGGTATTCTATAGCAGACAAGGATTCATTTACACTTCATAACTGGTAAATGGCACAGAACTTTATACTAGTAGAAATATTCTCAATCTAAGCTTATTACTAGAAATATACTCCTATTCAAAAAAACTAGCCTTTTCTTTTTCCAAAATTCTTGAGGACAGGAAACACCTATCTTTTTCATCTTTGTTGTTAACTCTGTACATAAAAGATACTATCATAGATCTCTCAGGGTTTACTACAGTGCTGTTCGTGGGTGCCCAAATACATGACTGGGTTTGTTACTTATTTCATACGTAGAAAAGAAAGCAAGTAAGTGAAAACGCTTTTAGAATTGCTGTTAATTAGATTTATAAAAGTTTTCATAGAACATTTTTAGAATTTTAGAAAAGCACAAATGTGTATCAGTTATTAAATTATTTTCACTTCTAAATGCACCCTTCTGTTCTCTTCTTGGGACACTGGAACTGGGACTGCAAACATTTCTTTACCAGCTTTAACAAATCCTTGTTAAAATCTGACCATAAAGGGTACCAGAGGGAGAGTAGGCTGAGGAGGAAGGAAAAGAAGTGTGCTCCTGCTCCTCCACAAATGAGTCAAATGTACCTTTAAAAGAGCAATGAGGGCTTCCCTGATGATTTAGTAGTGAAGAATCCGCCTGTCAATGCAGGGGACATGGGTTCGGTCCCTGGTCTGGGAAGATCCCATTTGCCACGGGGCAACTGAGCTCCTACGTCACAACCATTGAGCCTGTGCGCTACAGCCAAGGAGGTGCATCTACTGAAGCTGGTGTGCCCTAATGCCCATGCTCGGCAACCAGAAAAACCCCTGCTCACCACAACCAAAGAAAACCCAGGTGCAGCAATGAAGACCCAGAGCAGCCAAAGATAATTAAAAAATAAATCTTAAAAAAAAAGGCAATGATGTGGAAGCACAAAGTATTTCAGGTGGAAATTAAAAAATGCTATATGAAGGAAGCATGTGAGTATAAAAATTATATAAGCCAGGAGACAGCTGAAAGATAAAGTACAAAGTTAAATTTATTCAATGATGTGTTCACCTCTATTTTGTCATCTGTTTTTATACACTGGCCTATTACTTGATTCTGTAAATTAACCTCACCCAACTTCTTAGAATCAGGGATAACATAAATATAAATGAAATGATAATACATTTGAGAGAGAGCTGGGAGATTGAGAGATCCTTCTATAGAAATAAGTAGTTTCTCACCAACTATGCTTCCGAAGCATAGCTTTGTGTTGGATATATTCACCTTGTGAAATATCCTTTATGATTTCACTTCTGTCACCTTAACTAAGAAAACAAAGCGTTTTATTGCCTCCTCTCTTCTTGGACAGGGTCCAGGCCCAGGAAATTGTGCCCTTAAGAAACGTGATAATTTGTGGAAAGCCCATGCCTCTCATAAGCATTTTACTAGAATTTGAAGAAATTCACATGGGTGAGTATAGGGCAAAAGACGGTACATTTTAAACCAATGAAATTGGATTCAAAAACTTTGCAGAAAAGTTACAATCTGAATAAATAAATAAAGGCCTTAGGAGGCTGTTAAAGATCCTTACCCTCATAATGTTTCCCAAACAACAGAGAAAGATGGCCAGCAAAAGCTTTTTTAAAACATTAAAATGTATTGAATTGTTTTTAATTGTAAGAAACCATAAAAAAGGAGGGGGTGGGGAAACCCCTATGATCTTCCTGCCAATTAAGTCATATTTTACATAAAAATAGTACATACATGTTAGAAAGTCAGTGAAATGGTGTTAAATGAAAACCAAAAAAGCCCCTTCCTTCTCCCAAGGATAAACTCTCTTGAAAAAAAGGAGTTTCTTTTTATCCTTACAGGAAGAAAAAATACAAACACATTTATTTCGAAAGTTAAAAAAGAAATGAAAAGCTATACAATGAAAAGAAATTTCCCTTACTCATCTAACTCCCACACACTTAAACCCATTTTTGTCTCCTTGTTGAGAATACAGAAATAATTGATGCATAAACCAAGTATGTATGTGACTATGTGGGGGTGTGTTTATAATCTTCCCCTAATATACATAAATCATAACATTCTAAATAAACTGTCCCACACTTTGCTTTTTTCTCTCAATTACATCTCTTAGAGCTATGTTGATATCTACAGAGCCACTTCATTTATTTAATCAGCTGTGTAGTACTCCATTGAATGGATATACCAAAATTTACATGCTTAAGTCACTAGTCAATGCACTGTCAAGAGTCTTTCCAATCTTTTACTATGCTATTTAGAGGGGCTATACTATTTTTGTAAGTAGGTTATTTCACACATGTGCAAGTGCAAAGCAAAATGGATTTTTTGTAACACTGTTGAATCTGATTTGCTTTAAAAGCAGCAGCCTTCTGGGTCCTTTAAACCAGTTATATTTCTCAAGGAATGTCAACCAAGGACAAGGTCTATTAGAAGGTACTTTTCTGAAAACAAAAGACAACAGAAATAGTGGCTAAGTTGTCCTTTTGAAATTGGAATAAGAACCCATGATCTTTATGATCTTCTCAGCTTTAAACAACCTTAACAAAACAAGAAACATATCCACAAGTGGGTTTCTGAATATCAGTTGATTCTAACATTAATAGAGCCTGAAAGTGTTAGTAACTCAGCAGGAGTATGTAAGCTTTGTGATATTTTCCCATTAGTGTTCCCTAATTGATGACTGGTACTGTGTGGGCTATACTGACACTATTAGCCATCCTACGGTTTCATAACGTTTATGACACCTACCACACAGGATTGTGGTAAAATTAAATTAGATAATATTCACATAGGTGCTTGACACTCAGTAGATGAAAGATAAATGTTACTCTTCTTCACTACTTATACCATGCTTAGTGAAAGATGAAAACATTTCATCCATTACTAAGGTACCAATTAATCTAGTAGAAAATTATACAGGCTAAAATTTTTTTAATATGAAAAAGAAAGTCTAATGTGTAAATTTAAGCTCTTTCTATATCTTTTATAGCTTATAATAAGAAATATCGAAGAAAAATAAAGCTAATTTTAAGATTCCAATGGCTTTGGTATTGCTAATAATGTCAATTAGTGGACACTTTTGCTTATCCTGAAGGGAAACAGGTCATTACACTCTACTGCCTTCCTCTAGTATTACAATTCAAATATGGTAGAATTACTTAAATGCAGCAGTTCATGTGTAGAAAAAAAATAACATAATGAAAAAGTATATGCAAATAAGGATATTAGTGATAATGTGAAAAAGAACTAAACAAAATTACAATCAATAGAAGGATTTTACAGCAGGCAGAAATCTTTAAGATTATTTAGTAAAACCCCTTTGCATTTATTTTTTTTAAAAAAAGAATTGATATAGTGACAAAGATCTTTAAAGTTTAAGTATCTTGGGTTTGTTTATAAAAAACAAAAGGCCTTTCTATAACATGCCCCCCCACAAAGAGCAGATTAAATGAAAAAACACATTTAGAAATGGATGCAAACCAGGAGCTTTGGCCTGCTCTCCTGGCAGGTTCTCTGGGGCAGAACTGAGCTCCAGTAATTAGCACTTCACCGGGGAGGAATTTTAAAGAACTCTCAACTAAGCAATTCACAGCACAGAGTAAATTCTTGCACTTAGGAGGGGAAAAAAATCTACACTGACCATGCTTTTGCAATCCCAAGAGATAATAATTAACCATGGTTTAATGTGTTTGTTGGAGTAATAATGTAGACCAATTGCCCTTCAACTCAGCTATCAAACTCAAAATTTTTCAGGATTATTTTGAATTTAGAGATGGGTTGAAGGTAAGATTAAAATGTTTACATTGTACTTTCAAATGAAACTATGACCTCATTCCTTCATATATGTATATATTTACATATAAATTTTTATCTTAATCTTTCAGTGGGAAAATAAAAACAAATATCTTAGAAACCATACCAATTTTAGACAAAACATGAAAATGAAAGAAAGATATTTTGTTAAAATTCTTCCTCTGTACTGTTTGTCTTCTCATAAGTTTTTTCTCATTTAGTAAAAAAAAATTCATCTTATGCATTTTGCATTTCAACTACTAAATCCTTAAGGATTAAGACAGATTTAAATGAAAGAGGAGCTTATGTAAATATAACCACCTTTGAGTTGGAAATGGGAACAATTTTCTCTTCTGCTCAGATACCAACGTCCTGTTGAGAAGAAGATTCTCCAAAATGCTCAAGTGAGTGCTGTGAATGAAAGCTCAGCCAGCATGGA